GGTTCGCCATCGTGCGCATTGGCAGTGGTGTGTCCTAGAAGCTTGTGGCCACTGGCTCAGCTGGCAGGTGTTCACCACGGAGGCTCGGAGGCTGTGTGGAGATACGAAGGGGAGCACGCCCAGGGCAGATATCCACATTCACCACCGCCCCAGCCGCATCCACTCCCTCTCGTCAGCCCAGATGGAGGCGCTTCCGAGTTGCATCACCAGCATTCCTCGCCCATGCATGCATAACAGCACCGGTGGCACGATGGATGAGAGGTCCAAGCCTTCTGAATACGCCCAGCCGTTCTCCCTGCATTGACAAGAATTAGCTGTATCCCAATTTCCAAGTGCGCGCGTCCGCTGATCTGTGGTCATGGCAGTCCCATCCCAGTGCGAGAACTGTGCGAATGATGTGAGTCTCCCCGATCTCCTTCTCTGTCACAGAACCAATCTCTGCAGCGTGCGCTAATCATCCTCTCATCGCGACATTCAGCCGTACTCACACCTCCCACCACACGCCCGTCCCCAGACGTCTCTCAGTCTCCCCGTCGTCCTCGGCGTCTTGGGCGCATGCTCCCTTGTTGCCTTCGTCGCCGCTATACTCGTCCCGCTCGCCCGACGTCATGTCCACCGGAGCGGGCGTATCGGCATCGCGCCCAGCCGCAGCCTCTACAGCAAAGTGCGCGATGGTGATCTTGAATAAGATGCAGGCGCGGACGCGGATGCGAACGCTGGGGGTGTGTATCTGCCATCTCGGCGTCCATCCTTCCGACATCAAAAGATGTTCCCCGGTCCGGACGCTCAGCCCTTACGCCCCCTACTTCTCGACCCCCTCAGGCCCATCTCTGCGCTCACCTGGTCTGACCTTCGTTCCCGCACCAAGAGCCCCAGCGCGAGTACCTGTGCTAGCACCGACTCCCTCTCGTCCATCCTCATGCTGGACGACGACCCTGCTGCGGCCCCGTCGGACCAGGCATCGCTCGCCACCAACCGCGCGACCACCTCCCATCGGAGCTCTAGCACACGCTCCGCCCGGGACCGCGACCATGCCACCGGAAGGCGCGATGAGCTGGGAAGACCCGTCATCAGCGAGGATGCCTCTCCGACGCGCCCAGCATTGCCTTCCCCCCATCGCAGTCCGACCCCACCGGGACTGTCCTCCAAACGCGAGTATAGTAGCAGGTCTACCAGGAGGGCTTCTTTACCCCTCCCTATAACTCCCACTTCGCCTCTAGACTCGACCCAGCCTCACGCCACATCGGGCATGCCCCCTCTCTACGCAGCCCCCGTCCCATCCGCCCCATCCACCGCCGTAGCTGCTGCAGGACCGGCAGCTGCACTTTCTAGATATTCTGTCAGTCGTCCGCGCACGACGACTACGCAAAGGCCGGGCATGGAGCCTGTGCTCGAGGACGATGCTTATGCGGAAACCAGATCCTTACAGCTGCCGTCTCCGCCTGCGTCCCCTGAGCAGTCACAGCCACACTGGCGCGGCATACACTCCTCCGTCCATGCTGCCGATGCCTCCTTTGCTTCATCCTCAAGTACTCGCCGCAGACCGAGCCTGACCGCTACACAGAGTGCCCCCACGGCTGCAATGCCCCACCGGCCGCGCTCGTCGACGGGCCCGGCGATCCCTCTCACTGCGGCGTTTCAGACTAGTGTGCTCCGCTCCGGCTCTCAGTCGACGGCTGCGACCGCTTCGGCCCATCGCTATCCTTCCATTGTCACTGCGCCGTCGTCCGCCTCGGGGCGCGCCCGCCCGAGCTCGGTGTCCGTCGCGATCACGTCTGGAGGAGGTGGTGGAACGGGGTCGACTGCACTGCTTTCCCCGGAGTCCCCGGAGATGACACGTCCTACGGATGCGTTCAGGAGGATGAGCACGACTGACATTCGACACCGTCGTCCGACGCATGCGGAACAGGCGCAAGGCCAGACAGGGGACCCGCCCGTGTTTGGGAGGCCGTTCGATGCCGCGAGGACGGGCACGCAAGGACACGCGTATGTTCCAAGGACGGCGTCGATCAGCATCTCGGGCCCGTCGTTCACTACTCCGCCGCCGAACCCGTTGTCCCCGCCCACACTCGCGCCGACGCCCCCGCGGCTGAGCGTACATACACATTCAATGCACGGGCACCCACCGTCGCAATCGTCCTCGTCTTCGACCCACTCGCGCGGGCCCAGCGGGGGCCCAGCGCTGGTGAAGCGCAAGGACAGCCCTGCGCTACGGCCGATCCCGGTGTCTGCGCTGATGGGTGGTCCGTCTAGCGCGAGTATGGGGGGCATGTCTCTGGGCGGGAGCAGGAGTCGGTCGAATAGCGTACGGAGCACAAGGACGGGTCATGGATATGGCTCGGCGCAGCTGCCACCTGTGGACACGGTCACACCATTGACGATGAGCTGGAAGGGCTCGGCTGAAGAGGACGATGAAAGCGAAGGGAGGTGAGACGATGAACTGGACGCCCGCCCGCTGTGAGGGCGACGAGGATAGAAGATGGCCGGTCAGTGTACGAGAAGAGCACTCTGCTGTGGACAAGCGGCCCACGGTGGGCTCGAACATTTCGCTTTCAACCCAGACCCATGTTGTAAGTTATACTGCCTGGCGCTGCTGTTTTTGTGTGCTTGTGTATTTGTGATGCGACAGCGCACGGTGATGATATGTATCACGCACGACGCTCCTCCCTCGTCTCTCTTCCTTTTTGGTTCTGTATTTTGCGCACTGCGAGCTCGCACCGTGGTGTATGTTTTTGTATGACTACGAGGACTGTACGAGTAGGAGTTTACGTTGTTGACGTTCAATGTACGACATGTTGATCCCCTCCCTGGCACGTTCCCGGCGGACGTTGGCCGTTGACGGGCGAAGAAGGCCTGACGGTTGTCGATATGTCGACATGAACGGCGCACGCTGGCAGGTGAGGACTCAATACGCGCTGACACGGAAGCATCGTTGCATCGAACCGTACCGACAGGGACCAGCGGATATTGTGTGTATGTGTTGGTATGCAGAGCTGCAGCGGTGTTGTGTATAGACCCCGGGAAACCCGATCGCATCTGGAGCCCCCGTTGGTACTGTGGCACTGGGACCCACAAAGTCCTACTGCGACCCGCCGTGCGCAGCATGTTCCGACGTCGCCTACGCCGATGGAATGGGCGGAACGCGGGATTGACGAGATCGGTCTAGTATCATCGCCTGACCTTGAGACGCATGCTACCTTTCGCGCCCGACGACGAACTGCTCCCGCCGCCGAGCTCTTTCCACCATTTGTCTTTTGACTTGGATTTTGCCTTGGATTTTGCTTTCTCTCCAACGGTGCCCATACGCCTGATGACGGTTGAAAGGCCAGACGAGACACCGCGTCGGCCTCCGCCGGGGAAAGTCACCTTTGCGTCGCTCTCCGTAGAGGGAGAAGATTTGAGCTTCGTTTTCGACTTGGGTTTCTTGGCTGGAGGCTGTGACAGCGCGTCGTCGTCGTCGCCGTCTTCGTCACTTTCGTGGGTAGCAGGCGAAGAGGACCGGCGCGCGCGCTTGGCGGGCACGGAAGATTTTGAAGAAGACTCAGCGGCTGCACGTGTCGGGGATTTTGAGCGGGATCGTGAGCGTGAGCGCGCGCGCGAGAGGGTAAGCGCGAGCGGACGGAAATCCTTCTCCCACTCTTTGCGGTGTAGACGGAAGAGGGCCATCGTCGCGCGTGCATCAGTCACCTACGGGCGTAACGACGTTAGTGGCCGGAGGCGAGCGTCGAGGTGCAAAGTAGATCGACTGACCGAAGAGTGCTCGCCTGATTGAATCGTGAGCCCAAGCTCGTGCTGAACGAGGTGGCGAAGCGCGGGACGACGGCCGCGTGCGGACGGAAGCTTGTGCTTGTGTGAGAGGGATTGGGTATCGCGAAGGAGAGGACGGGGATGGGACAGTAGGAGAGCCTAGAAGGAGAATAGTGAATACGAAGGAACATGCGGACACAGATGCACGAGAAGGCCTTGATATTAAGGGGTGCGTACCTTGAGATCGTTGTGCACGGCATGTCCGACGAGGATGCGATCTTTGAGAATGTCCGCGACTTGCTTCTGGACTTCCTCGAAGGATTTCGCTGATGTACGGTAAGGCGACCAATGAGGTCGTGAGGCATAGGAAACATTCAATATAACTTACCATGCACCATGTCTGTTGGGCGGATTCCGGACCATTGTGTGCGGTAGTCTACGACGCGTTCGCGAGGGCGGACGAAGGCGTCTAAGAGGACGGCACCATGGAAGTTGACAAGAGAGACACGAGCGAGAGCGGACTCTTCGCCATCGATACCAACGCCAACCATCTCGCAGTCGATTGCGACGTACTTTCCGGGCCTAACAGGCGTGATCGGTTGAGGTGAGGCGGAGGAAGTATACGCGCGAGGGACAGGAGACGTACTGTGTATGTGCGGGCGAGTGCTCGATCTGACCAAGAACCATTTTACGGAGATTGAGGAGAGATTCGCCGTTCTTGATCTCGTCTGTAGACATGTCGACAGAGACTGGTAAGGGCGCCTCGACCGAAGAGCCCCGAGGAAAAGACTGGGATTCGGGGGAGGCATTGCGGGGAGCTGGGGTGGTCGACCGACGATCAGTAGCAGAGGATTTCGAAGAGCGGCGGGCGGCGGTAAGCTTTGACTTGTGTGGTATTTTCTGCAGGGGATGCATGAGCACAGGAACAGGAGGAGATAGGAAGATGTGTGGCGGACCTTGCGGAGGGCGAGCCAGTTTGCAGACGGCAGTGTCTGCGTGCTCGAGCTTGCTTTTGACTTCGAGCTATCCTTTGTTGCCATATCCACGACTCAGGTTCCGATTTGCCTGGAATGAGAAACCGCAGGCGCAAGCCTAAGCAGTGGTCGTAAGCAGAGCGAGAGGGAAATCGTTGAAACAGACTCTGGCGTTGAAGAACATATTCATAACAAGCGCCCATAGATGCATCGGCTACTGCACTTCATCCATCTGCCTACCAACACGTATGTACATGCATCAGCGTCTTCCAGGGGCATGGCGGAATGGCCGAGCGGTCTAAGGCGCTAGAATCAGGTCGCATGACGTCCATCTAGTCCTCACGGGCGTGGGTTCGAATCCCACTTCCGTCATTTCCTCTCTTTTGTCCTTTTACTTCCACCTACTTACGTCTTTCCTCTGAAAAAGTACTCTCGCCTATTTTCTCTGGTCGTTCAGCCACAGGACTGTCTAGCGAGGCCCAACGGAGGCCGCCCAACGTATTTGAACCTAGCATTGCACTACATAACGCTCTCAGCGTCGATGTCCGTCTGGCATGGGTGTTCATGGCCTCACCACCTACCTGCGGGAGCACAAACCTATCCTCTCTCGTACAGTCCACCTTCCGCTTCAACACCCTAACGAGCCAGTTCCGATAGTCGTCGATGGATGGTCGTAAGTCTCTCCGAGTACCGATGCCTCGACTTGCGGCGTATTAACTGTAACGGACTTTAATTCAGATTCATCTATGAGGTCGTTGAGTTTGGCAACCTACCATGGGCCTACGGCGGAGAGTATCCCGACCTGGCGCAGCTTATTTGCCAGATTGTCCGTGCATGGGTGGGAGTAGGAATCACCCTGCACTTTGTATTTGATGGTATGTACTTACTGCCTCCTCCAAAATACATCTCCTTGCCGCCCCCTCGTCCTGTGTCTCCCTGTGCGCTATGGGCGAGCCGTGTCCCATAGCTTCTCATGGTGGCATCTACTATCAGGGCCTGTTTTGGGAGTGGGACCGCTCATGTCCCTCTGGACGTCAACCCCGAAACGCGACGTGCAGCCTACTAACATGTTCACGTAGGTCCTTACCCCACTCTCAAGTTCCCTACTCTCGTATCCCGTATCACCCGGAACCGCATCCAGAACGGCCTACTCTTCTTCCGAACCTCATCTGTGGCGAGGTCCACTCCTCGCTTTCTACACGAGACCGCTATGCTCCCACCAATGGCATATAGCGTCTGCCTGGATACCCTCACTGCGATGGCTTCGGAGCTTCCACATGGGAAGCTGCATATCCATATAGCTGATGAAGAAGGCGATCCGTACGCAGTCGCCCTTGCCGGACGATTGCAAGCTTATGTTGCAGGACAGGACTCAGATTTCGTCGTGCTCAATGCCGAAGGATACCAAGGCTACATACCTCTGGACGAGATGGTCTGGATTTTGACGCAGAACCCCTCCACGAACTGGGAAGGCGAGGGAAGCGTCTATTCGGTAGATACCGAGGCCGACGTCAACGACGATGGCTTCAAGCCCGCACGTAGTGGCAAGAAACGGCAAAAGCGCGCTGCAGTCCACCAAGAGGCCGGTCATGGTATACTGCCCCCTAGTGAAACCTCCGAGCAGGGTGCGCAGCTCACCCTCTCATTCACTGCCTACAGTCCTTCGACTCTCGCGTCTCACCTCGGAATCCCCACATCTCTCCTCCCGCTACTCGGCGCTCTGGTCGGGAACGACTTCACAGGCGCGTCCGACGACTCTGGCCCTCCGGCAACTGCGGTAGATATCCGCACGAATCGTCGAGCCGACTTGCAGCGTCTGTTCTTTGAACGCCAGTTGACGCTCGGGCAACGTATCGCACGCGTTGCAAGTACGCTCAAGGAGCTCCTAGCGACGGCGTTCGGACAGGGTGCCGCGCCCCATAAAAAGCGTGTAAAGAAGCAGATCGGGAGTGTCATGGACCTCATCGATGCTGCAGTGACGGCCCTCCTACTTCGCCCGCTGGATACGTTCGCGACTGGAGAACGGGAGGCGATCGTTGAGCGAGTCGTTGAGGCGACGCTCCAGTATGCCGTACCCAAACCACCGGAGGACGACATGGAAGGTTCCTCTGAGCGAGGCGATGGTGAACGTGAAGATTTGGACTGGGTTTCATGTGTCTGCCCGCTACATCTCTCGGAGAGCTGCCCTCTATTCACGTCTTTGTCGCGACTTGCATCACAGCAACCCCGGGAAGCTGCCAAATCCGTTGCAGACCTGCATGCTAGTGTTCGTCGGGAATACATCGTGGCATACAGGAGAGGCCAGCTCAATCCTCACATCTTCGACGCTGTTCAGTCGGCAACTACGTGGCCCGGGGTCTTCCTGGAAGATCCGGACAAGGAGTGCGTCCAGCGGAGCATCGGGCGACCGATACGAGAATGGATTTACGCCGTCCTGGACGCGAGCGTCGGCCTGCCTAACGCGCCGGTACCCGAGGACGCCGAGGATGACGAAGAAGAGGACGAAGACGAGCTCATTGATGTGGTCGAGGAGGATGACGACATCGACCCGTTGGCTCGTCTCCGAGGAGCGTTGAAGGAGCTAGATGACCCCGACGAGGACGAGGACGGTCAGGGGCCGCCTTTGTCCGTGCCGTCTGTGTCATCTACCTTGGCGAGTTCACGTCCCAAGATCATCACCGAGTACATTCGGCGCGGCACCAGGCTCGCGCCGGAGGAGGTGACGGTCACTTCGCTCGCCGAGATGCTCAAGAGCATATCGTTCGAATGCCCCGTTCATCCTCATACGTCCTTTCCACTCCCGCCTCCCCTCTGGCCCGAAGATATGCGCCGGTCGCTACTCCTCGCCGCGATGAAGTCGAACCACGCTGTTGTAGCTTCGCTGCCAGATGATAGGCTCCTGGCTGTGCTGGCCTTGCGGTTCGTCGTTCACCAGATGCATGCGCGCGCGCTGGAGAACCCGGGCGTCAAGGAGCGGCAGATGGAGCGGTGGACGCAGGCTGAAGCTCGAGCGTTCCTGGCTTGTTTGTTCGGTCCGCACGACGGAAGTGTGGCGGTCGTTTCGGAGGACCAGAAGGGCGCTACGGTGCCTATCCAGGAGCGACACGTCCAGCTCGTGGCGCAGCTGTCTGCGGCGCTGGACGCGGCGGAACAGCTATCGCATGTGTTGTTACTCGCGCCAAAGATCACGAACCCCGCACGGCTTTTCTCTGGGAGGCGGTTCCATGCCCTTTTAGCTGGCTCAACGGCCGAAGTGGGAGCGGTCGAGGAAGGGCTGTGGCGGGCATGCTGGCAAGGATTGGAGGGCGCGTATGCGGAGCTGCCGCAGAGGAGGAGCAAGAAGGAGAAAAAGGCGACGGCGGTTGGTGCGGATGTGTCGAGAGCCAAGGGGAAGGCGAAAAGGCCGATCGCGGCGGCGTCGATGTTTGAGCTACTTGGCGATGCGGAGGCGTAGTCGTCGGTGCCCCGGTTGGTACTTTGTCGTCAAAATGGCGGGGCGCTGGAAAGTGATACATGGGGTGTACGTTGAGCGATTGTCAACATTGTTGTACCGAGGTATATGTATGCCCGTGCTGTGTGTACCATTGCGTCGAATTGGACGAACTCTTAGTTCTATCGTGCGGGCGCTTACTGCTTAGTACTTCAGCCGCCGCGATGAGCACACTCCGTCCAGCCACCTTCATCCGCCTGTCTCCCTAGGCTCACTTGTCGCGCTACATCTCTCGCCGGTCACTTCTCAATGATTGCTGCTATAACAGCGAACCTTTCTACGGGTGCTGGGATATCATCTCGCTCTCTGGGGACTGTGCGGAGGGCGCTTTCTGCTGCCCATTCGCCACTCAGAATCTCGTTGCGAACAAGTGTTCGCTTCCTCCACACACCACCTACACGACCTGCAGTCGGTATAGTCGAGTGCAGACGGACATCTCCGTCTGTATCTATACCAGCACCTCAGAAAAGACACGCAACGTACGTACGCCTCATTCATCATCCTCAACCTGCTTCAGACACCCTCCGCCGACCATGTCCGCCTCTTTGCCGGATCTCTGGCCCGTTTATCGTATCATATTCCTTCTCGTCCAAACAGATCGTCTGAATATGCGATAAGCTAGGCGCGTCTCAAATGGGATATCGCCAAAGTCTGTCCTCATCGTTAACAAGCTCCGAACGAAACCTGTGGTCGATGCCATAGACACCCTGCTCAAGTGCGAGCTTCGTACAAATTTGATATCACTATATAATAAACAAGAGCCCCAGATATATTCGCGAAAAGTATCCAGACGTCGAGATATATCACGAAGACCGGCCAGACATACCGGAATGCGCCAAAGTTTGGCACCCAGGTGAGTCGTTTGGTGTCGGAATTATAGTTATTCTGTACCAACTTCCCCACTAGGTCCAGATGCCCAACCAATCGACCTTGTCATCACACTGGGAGGGGACGGTACAATACTCCACGCCTCTTCGCTGTTCAAGACGGGCGCGGTGCCTCCTGTGTTGAGCTTCTCCATGGGCACACTCGGGTTTTTGCTCCCCTTCCGTAAGCGTCACCGCATCTTTATACATCATGCTCCGGTGGACCAATCACGCTCCTAGACATCGATGACTACACGAAGGCTATTGATAGCGCGTTTGCGGGACGCATCACCGTCCTGCATCGAATGCGCTTGTCATGTTCCTTCCAAGACTCTGGCGGCGAGCGCATCGATACGCAGTGCGAAGGTGCGACCATCAGTGCAGCATATTCCGGTGGCTAATACTATTCCACAATCTGTGCAGATTGGCAGGTCATGAACGAAGTGGCTTTGCATCGAGGGTCCAGTCCACATCTCAACACCATTGACGTATTTGTGGACGGCCAGCATCTAACCGAAGCCGTCGTACGTTCTCTTTGGGCGTTCAGCTTCGCCCATGGTATTCTGGCTGACAGTTACTTACGCGCTGGGTTTCTAGTCAGATGGTTTGATAGTATCAACTCCGACGGGATCGACAGCTTACTCCCTTTCTGCGGGTGGTCCAATCGTCCATCCGTCATTGAGCGCGATCGTATTGACTCCCATATGCCCGCGAAGCTTGTCATTCCGGCCACTCGTCTTCCCTTCATCGTCCTCTATCACGCTCCGGGTAAGTCTAAGTGCCTCTCAGTCTGCCGTCGCAGGAACGCCCCGGAATCTAACATAGCATTTGCTTGCTCTCGGCTGTCACCAAAATCCAGATAAGCGAGCGCAGTCGCGCATCCGCTGGCCTGTCCATGGATGGGCAGGTATCGCATATACTGAGCCCTGGCGAGGCAGTGACCGTCCGCGCATCGCTGTACTCCATCCCGTGCATCAACCGGTCGTCCATTACCGAGCCCGAGGACATTCTTGATG